GTGCTTTATGAAAAATTTCATAACTCGGTTGGGAGAAAGCCTACAGAGCAGAAAACAAATTGGTGTAGGGGAGCAATGTCTAAGGTGTTCCCAGCATACATGACGTGGGCGGAGGCCTGCCCACAATGGGCGGGAGCGCGCTCTGAAGTGTACAGCATTTTCTACAAGTCCTCATAATTCGGGCCGGGGAAGTCTTAATGAGCCGGAAAAAGGTGGATAGAGGTAGATGGAGGAGTGGAGGCCAGCTGTCATCGGTGGGCGGGGCTTGACCAAAGTGGGCGGAGTTTGCGACAAAAAATCACAACTCGGCTCCGAGAAGTCCCGGAGATAGGGGAAAAGGAGGTTAGAGGTTGACGAGGGAAACGAAGTCAACTGCTATTGTCCAGGGCGGAGTCAGCACCAAAGTGGGGAGTTTTTGAAGAAAATTCAAGACTCACTCCAAGAAGATCCCGTAGCCGAGAGTCCAGGTGGATACGTGGAGAGGAGCCAGCTGTCCATCGGTGGCGGGGCTGGCCAAAGTGGCGAGTTTTGGACGCAAAATTTGTAACTCGGCCGAAGAAGTCCCCAAGAGGCGAGAGCATAGTGGATAGACGGGTGAGAAGTGAGGCGTGTTCCATCGTGGTCGGGCTGGCCAACGGTGCGGAGTTGCGATGAATATCATAACCTCCGGCCCAATTGTCTCCAGAGACTCGGGAAAAAAGGGGTAGATGTCGGCGAAAGGAAAGGGGCCAAATGCTATTGGTGGGCGGGGCACGCACCGAAGTAGGCGGAGTTTGCCACGAGATTTATTGTCCGGAAGCAGTCCGGAGACCGGGAAAAAGAGGAATAATGGTTGACGAAGAAAAAAGAGGTTGAAAGCCGTCGATGATGGAGCGGATAGAATTTAGCTGAGAATTCAGATATTCGTGGTGTATCAAGCCCAAATTTGAAAATTTTCGTCGCACCATCAAAATTCGCCGCAGATCTGTGTTGTGCGCGCAATGCGTGCGGCGCCGACTGCGATATATAATGCGAGAACAACGAAACCATGACATAAATAGCTTACTTTGCATATCCTGTTTCGTTGCAGGGGTGTCGTTGATCTTCCATACTATCTCGTCGGACTGCACGGTGCGCACGGGCAGAGTCAACCCTGCGTTGCGCAGTTCGCAACGGCACGTTGAGAGATCCTCAACGCACGCTGTATGGGCGGAGACACAGACGGCTCGAGCATGCGAGTGTGAATGTTCGCGCGAGAGAACGTGTCTAATCGGGCGAAACTGCGCAACGTGGCCGTTGAAAACTGCGCAACGCAGGGTTGACTCTGCCACACCTCTGCGCCCAGAACAATTGACCATGCTAGGAGCCGCGCCAGGTAACAGAGCATGCGTGCCCTGGCTGGTCAAGTAATTCTTGTCATCGCAGCCATCGAAGGGTCGTCACTGCTTCGTCGTAGTCCGCAGCCCCTTCGTCGCTTTACGTCACGGAACACCATAGATGTTACCGCAGTGGACGCCCAGAGAGGAGGCGGAATCACGTCTCTCCCGTAAGTATGAACGCTCGGGTTCGACCTCGTGAGCATTAGGTTGTATATAGCCAGTATTAATCGTGTGTCTTGTATTTATTTCAGTACGCAGTTTTTAGAAGTTTTATGGTACTTTCGTCTTGTTTTGCGTAGCAGCATCTCAAGCGGCTCAACACCGCAGCGTACTTTGTTTACATGTCCCGTAGGTGTAAAGTGTCAGCAATACCCGTAAGCCGGGCTGGGGAAGAGTCAAGTCAGTCAGTTGTGGGCCATAGGACCAAAAGGGTAAAATCGTTAAGCGTAATCGTAAGCAAGTTAAAGCTACAACAGGTCTTATTAGCCGTAGTTCATCGGGCTGCTTGGGCTCTTAGGCGACCCGCGTGGAGACGGGAACGAGCGCAGCGTGAGACTCCGATAGCGAACCATCACGCCGGCCGGCTCCGCTCCTTCGCTAGGGAACCCCGATGCTTGGAAGAAATTGTGGGACGCGTCGCCCGGGCCGGCGCGACAAAGGGTTATAGATGTCTGATCAAAAAATTCGTATTCTTCACGTTTTATTCGTGCACAATTTGCACTAGAAAGAGATAAAGTGACGGGACGAAGACATTGATGGCGTGCGCCATAAACTGATAACAACTTATTAGCGGTGATATAGGGAACTTGTGGTTAGAAAGAAAGCGCTTTGAGCTTCCTATGCAATTAGCCATGACATGAACAACTTGGTTCGTCCGGACGACACACGATAGGATCCCGGGCGGAATCTAGGCGAACCAGGCTTTCACGTCAGGGTCGGTTGATAGATAGAACACTTTTCTGGGGGATAAAAACACACATATATCTGGGAAGTAAAAGACAGACATCTTTGCTGTGTTGCATCGGTTGACTCGCCCGACAAGTATGGGACAAATTGTTGTCAAGTGCCTCTACAATTTCGAATGGAAAGAGAAAAGCATGTCGGATCCACATCAAGGATTGCTCAAAGCTGACGGCTTTTTTCTCCCCCGACATTATCGGTCAAAAAGGCTACTTGACTGCAATGTTTTTTCTGAAATCTGATGGATTTCATGGAAATATGACCAGAGGTAGGAAATGAATATTTCATAACTAGCACAATAGTTTTTTAAATGAGTTCAGTAGGCAGCATTGGAGAATCTTCAGGTTAGACGCAGTGCTCTCCAGACCGTACACTTTTTCGCCGGCAGTAAAGATTTTGATGGAGCATATGCAAGGAGTAGAGCAGGCAAGTGTGAATGTTAGCGTTAGCCGTTGATCCCTTTCTAGAATGAGTGAACCTGAGCCACTGACAATGAGGCCTGTCCAGTGCTCCATCTAGGCTATCTTTTTTGATTCAGGTTAATTTCTCAATTCAGCACTCGTGTAGTTGGGATCATTTTTGGTTGTACATAATCTAAATTTGCCCGACCAGGTGTGGAAGTGGTGTAGTGACAAGTGGCGCGCTTACCACGCGAGCGGTCCGGGGATCAAATCCTGGGTCGTGAGTCGCCCGGGCCAACCAAGCCTTCCATCCCTCCGGGGTCGGTTAATTGGTACCAGACTTGTCTGGGAGGATAAAAACACTGACTTGAACATCGGCTGGCCCCCGCAAGTCATTGTATAGGCCACATCGCATTCAAATGCCACTGCGAATGTACAAATGGAAGTAGAATGCGTGCCGCATCCCAAAAGGGATTGATCAACGGCAAATGCTTTATCCTTTATCCTTTAATTATGCGACGAGTAACCGAATTCTCCACCTGAGCAAAACCTTCGGAGGGTGACGCCGATTTACATTGTCAAAAGCTAATTGATCTATAATTTTTTCAAACATTTTTACAATAAAGGAGCAATTGCCATAATTCTGTTGCTCTCCGAAACAACCTCATCACGCTACCTTCCTCCTTTCACATAACTTCAAGTTCACAGCCTCAAGGCAACCTCCGGATCGAACTAATAAGTAATGCCCAAAAGGAGAGCATTTGCCATAATTTTGAATGTCTGTGCTCTCCGAACAACCTCCCGCCACCCCTCTTTTCACATGAGCTTCAAGATGTCACAGCTCAAAGGCAACCTCCGGGATCGAACTAATAAGTTATTGCGCCAATGAGTGGCAGTGGAGATGTAAAGCGGACGCCAGCAACAAAAAAAAACCAAAAGGAACCGTGAGCAGGGACAAAAATAAAGTCCCCGTCCGCAGCAGCAGCTAACCGACATAGCACCGGTTTGGGGGCGGGGTCTAGGTGGTGGGAGGAGCACATGATGAATCTTTGGGTTGGCGCTCCAGCCTGTTACGTAGCGCCGAATCGGAATATGCTTTGAGCTTGCGTCCCACTCCTGGTGCAAGAGCCTCAGCTCGTTCAGAAACGCAGAATCTTGAATTTAAGAAAAAAAAAACGCAGAAACTTGAAATAAAACTAGGCCTAGAAGAGGTTCCCACGATAAGAATGAAGGTCGAAGAAGGAGAAATCCTTCCTAGTGGGAGACAGGCGGACCTCCTAAGGGTGCGGACCAACACACAATTCGCATCGAAGGATATGCCCCCGGCGATCTAGCATGGCCTTCCTTTGGCGCAGTTGGCGCGGAACGCCCACCGACTATCTAATCACCGCAGGTCTATACGTGGCGAGTGATTAGATAGCAGAGAGAGCGTAGTGTTGAAGAGGGCACAGCGATGAGAGTCGCATCAATGCGCAAATCAACGGGCAAGGGGTCCCATTTCTCGGGTTCGGGCCGTTTCAATGGTTTCTTCTTCATCCCTGCTCCACTAGCCACCTCTACCCTTATTTCCAATGAGCTACCTTTTCATTGTAAAATCTGCCTTCAAATTGCAGCTCCCAGACAAAATAGTGGGCAAGTTATACTTGTTATAAAAATTACGGCTGAAGATGAGCGAACAGAGAATTGAGGAAAAACGTTTATCGATTTTAAATGAATTTCACCAAATAGCATAAATAAGACGCTACAAAGTGAATGACGTCACAACGTTGGTGACTAGAGAAAGTGCTCGTACTATTGCGCGAATCGATGAGTCAATAATAGATCCGTGATCGATGTTAATTAATCGTACAAAACCGACTGTCAGATCTTTGAACTAATCAATCACCCGATATATGTGGGAAGGACTAGCACTAAGTGAATCATAGGCGAGAATAGCAAGATTTGTTGCGAGTGGGGGAGCAGGAAAGAAGAGCAGAGGAGGATAGAGAAGTTCGTATGTCATTAAGTAGAACGAACAAAGATCCTGACTCATTTAAATGCCTATTTTCAGGAGGAAAAAAGAAGTGAAGAACAAGTGAAAAATGAGCGAAACGATCGATAAATTATGGCGTGAATGCCCGATAAATGACCACGAAAATGAGCGTTGTGCGATGAGAAATGAAGAGCGAAGACACTCAGAATTCCTGATTTGATTCCATATAGTACATATGTTCTTCGGCAGCACAACAACAGAGGCTAATCACAGATAAGACACAGGGAGCATCGTTGAGCAAAGAGAGTATCAGAAGTGCCGCTTCATATGTAGACTGAGGTGATCGCTGCGTGAAAAGGCTCGTGAACATTGAGCACATTTGAAAGGTCGATCGCCGGTGTGTTTACGGTAGTGACGAGTGAGCTCATCCGAACGTGCAAACCGCCATTCACATCCGGGCCATGGACAGGAGTACGGTTTCTCGCCTGTAAAGGAAGAGTACTGTATGTGAATAGCTTTTCTCTGGAGAAGCGTTTGTCATTTTTTCCATGGGACAAAACCGTGAAAGGATACAGATAATCACAGTGATCAATGGAGCCATTCAGCAACATTCGATCCGTTGTCATACACTCGTATATGATGTTGTAGTGATTGTCTCTTCCACGTTTTGATGCGAAAGGTCGAAATGTGGGCTAATTAGGGACAATCATGGATATGGCTAAGGCAGACTATGAATTTTTTTAAATGTTCCAAATGAACGATATCAATCACTCCTCAATCAGGTGAACTCGGTGGAAATGACAACTTCCCTTCAGAAAAGGGTAGGCTGGGAGCTCTCAGGGGAGGCTGCAGTAGCGTCCCGCGCGCTGCTTTGCGGT